AAAAGACAGCATTTCAACTGTACTCAATTTATTGTTTGTAGGGCCATATCCTGTTGGGGCCAAAGTTTCCTTTTGATAGATTTCCATTAGATGTGTAAATCACAAAGCACACCCTCTCTCAATCCATACAAGCAGTCAACGTTACGTCAAATAATTGTAAGGGAAGGAGAAACCTAAGCTTCGTTTTTGTTCTGCTTCTAAGTTGGGCACTTCTGAACTGGTCAGATGTTCCTAACCGGCGTATGTGGTATAGCAGTTAGGTGCTCCGTCGTCTCATGCACATGACCCGAGTTCTATTCCCATGCAGGAACCCATTTATATTGAGTACCTTAGTCTGGCTGCTGGGATTTTGTATTCATTTCAGCACAGGAGAACCCGTTTTCGTCCCACAATATTTATTTTTGAATTTTCTTATACCCGTTCCCGTCCTACTCGATTTCGTCTCACTTTGATTCCATTACTAACAGTTACCGCAATTGCCACCCCGATTCGCAAATCCGGGTTTTAACATCAACAAGTAAGCGGAAATAGGATTTTGTGAAACATGAAAATGTGTGTTAAACGTTTGCAGAATACATGTCTCTGATAAAACGGTTTCGATAAAAATCTTTGTAATTGAACTTGTTAAAATTTTATTATAAATCACGGTTAAAACTTTGCCCATTATTTACAGCCAGTCTGCAACAGACGATAAGCTGAAATTTCTATCAAACAGCAGAGTACGGTTCGTCTCAGAATATCACCACACACGCACATCAGAAAGAAAGAAAGAGAGAGAGAGAGAGAGAGAGAGAGAGAGAGAGAGAGAGAGAGAGAGAGAGAGAGAGAGAGAGAGAGAGAGAGAGAGAGAGAGGGGGGGGGGCAAGAGAGAGATTAAAATTTGTTCAGAGAAATTGATACAAGTCACTGTGCAAAGATTTGGAAAGTCTCGATAGTTTAGGAATTAGTTGCGCCACGTATTTTTGACCTCACTTGGAACAACATTTCAAGCACTGGGATAAATAGATGGATGTCCGTGTCTTTAACCCTATCCGAACGCCCTGGAGTCATTTTGTACCCCCGGGGTTGTATTCTTCACATACGCCCGGAGTCATTTTGTACCTCCGGGGTTGTATTCTTCACATTTCAGAATACTTCTAGTACGAAGATCGCTTTGAAACTTTCAGTATTTCTCAAAAAAATCATTTTGACAGACTGCTAAGACAGAAAAACGCGACGGACGGATAGGGTTAATTCGATTTTTAGAGTGTCTGTACCTTCTCGTGGCACGCAGTGGGCTTGTCCGTTACACTGAGACATGTTTTTTTTAAAAAAGTTGTTGAGTTGTTTTTTGTTGTGGTTTTTTTTTT